CGGCGAGTCGGCATCAGTTTTACTCCATTGTCTCTGAATACCTGAGCACTGGACGTTTGCGTAATTAACCTTTTGCTCCACTCTGCAAGAAGGGGCCACGAGCCAGCGTGTCTCCACGGGGGACGCCCACGTGGGACGCCCACGGTCCCGTGCTGGGTGTCGCCTTCCGTTGGAACAGGAGCTCACTTAGGTGAACCTGATGCGCACGGTGCTCATGGGAGAGAAGCCCACCTGACGCCTCGTGTCCCGCGTCCCGCAGACGCGTGGTCTCTACTCGCACTGCGTGGCCTTACGCGTGGCTCCGTGGGCAGTGTGCTCACCGGCGATGCCTCTGCCCGGTGTGCCCGGCTGCGTCTGCAGCCACAGAACCAAGGACAGTCGAGGCCACGAGGGGGACGGGCTACCTGACGCCCTCCGCTCCCTGCAGCTACCCAGGTGGAGAGTTGTTTTTAATGTGCTGCTTTTTTTTTTTTAAAGACCAGAGGGGGAACTGTGGGCGGCTGCTCACCGCTGTGCTGGGTCAGCCGCCGTCTCGGTTCCGAGAGCGACCCATGCTTCGCCCGAGGGGCGTCTCGTCCCCACGCCCAGCTGTGACTTCACGGCGTTCCCTGACGAGTGAATTCCTGGGCTCCTTTGCCGAATCGTTGGATGACTTTTAAGAACAAAGCACGTTTGTGCAGAAGGGGATTCAGCATGGTCTTTTTTTGAAAAGAAAGCACATTCGATGAATTTGGACCAACTGTGAAAATCACAGCCTCTTCCCCCCCCCCCCCCCAACTCCCCACCCCGGGGGTTTTGGGTTTTTTCCCCCTTTTCAAGGAACCAGGGGCGGGTGGCAGAGCCTTTCCCGGATTCATCCGAGAAGGGGGGGCGGGGCGGGGAAATGCCCCGACTTCCCACGCCGAGGGACCGGCACTGAGGGGGAAGGAGATCCCACACTGAGGCTCCACGGGGCAGAGCATCAGCCCCAGAAATCACTGCTCATCTCAGTGTCATTTCCCCGGAATGCGCGGGGGGGGAGCTCCCGCTAGAAAAATGAGAACATAACAGACGGGACAGCCTTGACATTGGATGGGAGGGATGGGAACTGACATCTGTCCTTCTGGGTCAGAATAACATTCACCCCCCCTCAATCCAGAGGAAAGAACGGGGGCACCTCCACGGGGGTGGCTTGGACCCCCGACCCTCCCCCGGCCCAGGCCTCAGCCGGAGGGGCCCAGCCCTCAGCCCCGCAGGGCCGCATGTCTCTGTGAAACACAGCTCCTCCCCCTCCTCCCGGGCTCTGGAACAGGGAGGCTCCCAGAGGAGGGAGGGGCACGCGCTCAGGACTCTCACCTCGTTCACGCGCTCAACACGCACGTGTGAGGCGCTGGGCTGGTGCTCCCGCCGTGCCCCGCGTGATTACAGAGCGGACGGCCTCCTGTCCGCCCCACAGGCCCTCAGCACGAGTCTGTTCATTCCTCACTGTATCCCCGTCCCACCCTGGGTGCCCCTTCCTGGCGGCCATTCCCAAGGACCCCGCTGCCAGCTGCAGGGCACCCCTCTCCCCCGTCGGAGCTCTGGGAGCCTGGGTTGGCTCTCCAGGGGCCTCGAGACCCAGCTGGGTGTCAGACAAGGCTTTTCTCAGAAGGGACTCTCAGGCTGAGAGCTGAGGGTTAAGTAGGAGGAAGCCAGCGGTGAGCAGGTGCAGGGAACAGCATTCTAGGAAGAGGGACCAGCAGGTGCAAAGGCCTCTGGGGGAGGACCTGGAGGGCAGGGTTGTCTGGGAAAATGGAACCAACAGGAAGCACGTGCCTGTGAAAGGAGAGTGTAGGGAATTGTTGGTTGTGGAGGCAGCACCGTTGGTGGAATTCATTCCGAGTCCAAAGGCCTGAGAACCAGGAGCTGGCGTAAGTCCAAGCTGGGGGCAGGGGAGCCTGAGAACCAGGAGCTGGCGTAAGTCCAAGCTGGGGGCAGGGGAGCCGAGGTGCGGTGTCCCCGCTCCAGCAGGGAGGCAGGGAAACGTGGGGGTCCCTCTGTCCTCTGCCCTTGGCTCTCTTTAGGCCCTCGCTGCCCCTGCATCTGCCCCTGCCTCTGCCTCTGCCTCTGCCCCTGCCCCTGCCTCTGCCTCTGCCTCTGCCTCTGTAGGAGGTGTCTACATCTCTCTCTCCTGTTGGTCTGCTTCTCTGAAACCCTCCTCGCACAGCCCTTCCAGAACCCCATCTGAGACTAGTGGCTAAGAAAGGCTTGTCCTGCATTTCATTCCCTTGTCAGAGAAAATAGTCAGCCCCACCTTTTCTGGGCTCCGGTAATGAAAACACAATCACCAGAGGCTGCGCCAGAGGCTCGGGAACGGACAGGAGTCAGTGCACGGCTTCCCCCGCGGCTACAAGGGGGCAGGTGCAGGTCCCCGCAGTTGGCCGGGGGTGAGCGGTGAGCACACACCTGGCCCCGCCTCTGGGCTGCCCTCCGTGCCCCTGGCGGCGCTTCCCCGGCCCGGCTGACCGGGACAGAGCAGGCAGAGGGGGAAACAGCGGAAATACATTTTGGAAAATGGACAAAGGATTCTGAATGTATTGACTGATTTGCTAAGGGTCTTGCTGATTTATGACTGACTTCCTCATGCACTTTGAACAGCCTGAAAATCTTTATTTTGCAATGAAGGTGGAAAAAATACAACAGTTCTTTACAAATCAAGGATGATATTATTTTTAAAAAATAAACTTTCCATCCCATAGTTTTAGATTCACAGAATTTAGACAGTGTGCGGAGGGAGTTCGCGCACACCCGCCCCGCTGGCCCTGTTATAACATCTGTGAGCCCGGCTACATTTGTTACAATTAATGAGCCAAGTGGACACGTTGTTACTGACTGAACTGTACTCAGATTTCCTTAGGTTTTACCGCTGCCCTTTCCTGTCCAGGAGAACCCCTCAGATACCAGTGTCTCCTTAGCGCCTCCTGCTGTGCCGGTTTCTCAGACGGCCCTGTGTGGGTGACCGTGACCGTGTGAGGACGGGCAGGGATTCTGTGGGAGGCCCCTCCGCTGGGTTTGTCCGGGGCTCCTCCCGTGGAAACAGGAGGTCTGTGGAGTCAGGTTCGAGGACACAGGTGGAGTGTCCTCCTCCCGTGCTGCCCACACGTCTGAGTGCGCAGCGGTGCCTGAGCGCCTGGCGGGTCCATAGAAACTGGCTCTGCAGGCAGACCCGGTGACGTGACCGTAGTGGCCCCGGCGCTCCCGCCCAGCCGCCCTCCTCACACATGGGACGGGGTGGAAGGTCACGGAACAGGTGGGGCCGTGAGCTGCCAGCAGGGCGGAGGGGCTGGGACATTCGGGAACCAAAGGGCTCTGTCTCACCTTTGCCCCCAGACCTGACAGCTCCCACCGGGCTGCCTCGTGGGGACATGGAAAACGTGTTTCTGAAATGAATAAGGTCCCAGCAGACACACAGGCAGAGGCTTCTGGGTAAGAAGGTCCCAGGTTCTGCGTGGGGCCAGGTGAAGCTCCGGCCCCGGATGGAAACCCGCGGCCCCAGGCGCCCTGCGGGGCTGCTGTGGATGCGCCTCTGCCACACGCAGCCCTCACGTCCTGGGTGACTTCCAAGCAGTCGGTAGCCGGATTCAAGCAAGACCACGCCTTTTTAAAAAAATATATATTTTATTGATTTTTTTACAGAGAGGAAGGGAGAGGGATAGAGAGTCAGAAACATCGATGAGAGAGAAACATCGATCAGCTGCCTCCTGCACAACCCCCACTGGGGATGTGCCTGCAACCAAGGTACATGCCCTTGACCGGAATCGAACCTGGGACCCCCCAGTCCGTAGGCCGACACTCTATCCCCTGAGCCAAACCGGCTAGGGCAAGACCACGCCTTTAACAATGTTCTTTTTTCCTCAAGGAAAATGACTGTTCTTTTTAAAATAAATCTTTATTATTGAAAGTATTACATATGTGCCTTTTCTCCCCTTGCCCCCCCACCCCAAGCCTTCATACCCACCGTCTGTGTCTGTGGGTTATGCACACGCGAGAGGCTCAGGCGAAAGCCAGAGCCCAGGGGGCACAGAGGGGCCCTCAGGCCTGGGACCCACAGGCTCCTGGTGGTGCTGGAGGGGGAGCCTTTGGAAGAGCGACTCGCCCGGCCAGCCTGGGCCCGCAGCCCAGAGGGGAGGCAGGTGTCGCCCATCTTCCTGATGAGCTTCACCTCCTCACCCAGGAAGCGGTTCGGCAGGAAGTCGCAGAGCTGAGGGCCTGAAGGAGGGCCTGGTTCAGGCTCCTCTCCGAGGCCAGGCGGCCTCCATGGTGCTCACCTTGGGGGGCTCCTGCACGTCCTGGAAGAGAATGCGGTTTCTCGGCGTTAAGATGCTCAGCGCCCTCGCGCATCATCTCCGCCAACGGGAGGAAGAAGTGGCCCCGCCCTGGAGAGCCACACCGTCCCCGTGGGAACAGACGCCCAGAGAGAGGTGAGTGTGGAGGCCGTGGAGGCCGCAGAGGCCAGGCCAGGCGGTGACCGCAGCCTCCACCTGCTGGGGTAATGCTGACGGATCCGGGAGCTCAGGGTTGTTGGGCAGTGAGGAGTTAAGGTAGGAAAAGCCGGTGTCGGCTGGTCCCGGAGGAGGTTCTGCAGGTGGAGCCTGGATAAGACGCAGGAGGGGGCCGGAGGCTGGGAGAAGGGGCGTCCCTGGAGCAGGAGACAGAGCGGGGCCGCCGAGGGCACTGGAAAATGACTGTTCTTGTGTTAAATCCTGCAATAGTGGCCAAGAATTTGTTTTTGTTTTTTAAGCAGGAAGTTGCCAGGAAGCGTCATTCTTTTGTTGATTATATCTGCTTTTTAGGACACAAAGTTCTCTTTAATTATTTTTGGGGGGAAGGGACGCCACACTTCTACTCGATTATGAGAAACCTTTTCACCAGCATAGAAGTCTCCGCTACACTCGCCCTGCCCTGGGGCCGTGGGGGAGGGTCCGGGGCTCAGGCTCCTCCGGGAGCTCACGGAACCCAGCACCTTCCTCTGCGGCCTCCTTCCTTTCTGCTCATCTCCCTTCACACGTTTCAGGAAGCTCTCTGGGCTCTTGAGGGCTTAACAGGCTCAATACGGGCACTGACTCCCTTGGCCAGAATCTTGCCCTCACCTGCGCGTTCGCGATGCCATGGCGCGCTGGGTGGCACACAGCCTCGTCCAGCGTGGCCGTGGGCACGTGGGTGGGGCCTTCCTTTCTGAACAGCCCATTCCCTCGATGTCCGCCGTATCGCCTTCCTTGTAGCTTCGCATGTTCGTGGCCGGAGGAACAAGTCCGTGTTTCCTAAAAGGCCTAGGGGACACGGAACGCTGCCTCTCTCTCCCTTTGTGCTAGTCATTTTGGTGAATTACTGGAAGATGGTGGTGATATTTTTTAACCTTTTAAAAATAGAGAAGCCACCGGGCGGACAGAACAGGCGGGGTTTGTGCTGTGGGCGTGGCTTGCTGAGCCCCGAGGCTGGTCCTGGAGCTGAGATGCGGCTGCGGGTCATCCACACCAGCTCGGGGTTTAAACCCACACACCTGCCAGCACGCCCATAGTGTGTGCGCGCGCTCGCGTGTGTGCGTGTGTGCGTGTGTGCGTGTGTGTGTGTGTGTGTGTGTGTGTGTGTGTGGTGTGCTCTCCTGTCCCCAGAGTGTAAGGGGCACGGCCCTGCTGTGGAGGCGGGAAGCCCAGAATCAAGGTGTGAGGAGGGGACCCTCTCGGAAGGTGCTCGGCCTCTCTTACCTCCAGGGTCACCAGTGACCTCGGTGGGTCGTGGCTCCCGTGGCCTCCATCCTCACCTGGGCCCTCCCAGGCGTATTGGACGATGAAGCGGGCTTTTTGGACTGGAACACGCGGTGTTCCCGGGCAGGATGGTTCCCGGATTCTTTGTCTGTCGGAGTCGAAGAATGAATCCACGGACGGAAGGTGTATAGCAAAGGTGGAGGGGGAAGGGTCCCACAGAACAGACTCCCCCGTGGGGAGGGGAAAGGGTGCCCTGAGTTCCTTTTCCCTGCGGCTTACGAAGGCTGCAGACCTTTGTGCCTTGGCATCCCCTCTGATGGGTCACTATTCCCTTGGACTGGTTACTATAGTAACTCCTGGGTCAAAGGTCAAACCTCACCTGGGACCCGTGAGGCTCTCCCCTCCTCCCTCATTGTTTTCCGATCCCTTTGGCCTTCTTCCTCCTCTGAATGACGGCTTCCTTCCGCTTAGTGACTGCAGACCTGCTGCTGCTCCCAGCCCTCGTTCTAGGGCATGTGCCCATGGCAGCGCCTCAGCTCCCCTGGTCTAGGGAGATACCCCTGCTGCTGCTCTGGTCCCCTTAATTTCTAAAATGTCCTCAACCTGCCTATTTTACCCCCCAAAATTCCTGCTTCAACGAGGCCCGTCTGGTGACTCATCTTAACCAGTTCCATCTGCAAAGATCCGGTTTGCAAGTAAGGCCGCCTCCCCAGGGGCCGGGTTATGGCTTCAGCAGGGTTTTTCGGTGGAAACCACTCCAGCCCTAACAGGTGGCCACCAAGTAACACGAGGCAGGAAGGACAGCCATGGCTGCGGGGCTGGCCGGGGCGGCGGGGTGAGAGGCCACAGGGACGCGGGGGCAGCTGGGATGGGCGGGCAGAGAACAGAACGCTCTTTCAGGAAAGGCATCAGGAGGGGGTGGAGGGAGGGCCAAGCTGGAGAGACCCTTGTCCCTGTGAGCCTCGCTGGGGACAATGGTTCTTTTACTGGAGAAGCTGGATTGAAAGGGAGACCCTCCCAGTGGCGGAGGGGACAGCCAGCCCCTCCTGGGGCCCCTGTTCCCTCTTGCACAGCCTGAGGCGCCTCCACCCTGCACGGCTGTGCACGCCCTCCGCGCTCTGTGCTCCCAGCAAGAGGGGCGGAGAGACGGGCCAGCCCACAATTTTTATTTTATTTTATTTGTTTTAAAATATATTTTACTGACTTCAGAGCGGAAGGGAGAGGGAGTGAGAGATAAACGCATCAATGACGAGAGAGAATCATGGATCAGCTGCCTCCTGCACGCCACACACTGGGGATCGAGCCCACAACCCGGGCATGTGCCCTGACCGGGAATCGAATCGTGACCTCCTGGTTCATAGGTCGATGCTCAACCACTGAGCCACGCCGGCCAGGCCAGCACACGATTTTTAAAAAGTAACTATTTGAATAAAGTAATTGAATAATTAAAAAAATATGTTGCGAAGTCCAGAAAGCTTCGGGGCGCTTGGGGTCCAATTGTGTTCTCTTTTTGTGGGACCGGTTCAGGTGGGGTTTCTTTAGCACAGTGATGGCGAACCTTTTGAGCTCGGCGTGTCAGCATTTTGAAAAACCCTAACTTAACTCTGGTGCCGTGTCACATGTAGAAATTTTTTGATATTTGCAACCATAGTAAAACAAAGACTTCTATTTTTGATATTTATTTTATATATTTAAATGTCATTTAACAAAGAAAAATCAACCAAAAAAATGAGTTCGCGTGTCACGTGTGTCATAGGTTCTCCATCAACTGCCGAGTTTGAGGAAACAAGTGGCTCCCTGGCTGGCACCGTCTTTCCCCAGAGCCCATGGTGACACCTCGACACCGGGCGGGTGACGGGGAGCAGGAGGGCCAGGCAGCCAAGCTTTGTTTCGGAAGCTTCTCCGGTTTTGGGGCCACACCTTCCCCCACACCTGCATCACCACACCCGACACCCGGCGGAGGGTAGAGGGAGCCCCACTCAGCGAGCATCAGTCGATGAAGGCTTCTCTGTGCGGGGGCGTCACAGTCACCCCACGGGCCTAGGCATCTCCTGCAGTGACCAGCACCAGCCCGTGGCCCATCCGTGTGCCCCTCAGCCCCCACCAGAGCCCCGACAGGCTTAGTGCTGCCAGGCCCCGACTGGGGTGGGAAGGCAGTGCCTGTCTGCTGGGGAGCACAGACACCCCAACAGGGCCAAGGGCTCCGTGCTCGAGGTGACGGGGCAGGGAGGGGCCGTCTTCTGCGAGGCAGTTGCTCCTGCTGGCAGCTTGGCTGGAGGCTCAGCAGGCTGCACGGGGCTCCCCGGAGGCGGAGTGAGGGGCTCCATCCTCCCCTGTGCGGCTGCGCCCCTCATCTCTGTCCCCAGCGGCTCCTGTCCGCCCTTCCTGCCCCCAGGAGGCCACGTCTCGTCACTTCGCATACAAAGGCCTCGTCTTCTCTCCCAGGGCAGCGCTGTTCAGCTTGTTCAGTCGCCCTCAGCGTGGGGCCTGGTTTAGGAGGGTCTCAGACACAAGATGTGTTTACTTTTTCTTTTTACAAGTAAATCGCGGTAAAATACACGCGGCACAGTTGTCAGCGTGCAGCTCAGTGGCGAGAAGTGCGTTCATCTCCCGGTTCTTCACCTGGTGAAACTCTGCCCGTTAGACACTGACTCCCCGTCCCGCCCCTCCCTCTGCCTCCACGGACAGGCCTCCCCCAGGAGCCTCGCACAGTGGGACTCGCACCCCCAGGAACCTCACACAGTGGGACTCCCCCAGGAGCCTCACACAGTGGGACTCCCACCCCCAGGAACCTCACACAGTGGGACTCCCACCCGCAGGAGCCTCACACAGTGGGACTCCCCCAGGAGCCTCGCACAGTGGGACTCGCACCCACAGGAACCTCGCACAGTGGGACTCCCCCACGAACCTCGCACAGTGGGACTCACTCCCCCACGAGCCTCGCACAGTGGGACTCACACCCGCACGAACCTCGCACAGTGGGACTCACACACGCAGGAACCTCGCACAGTGGGACTCCCAC